GAGGAGGGCAACCAAAATGGTCAAAGGCCTGGAAACGATGCCTTATGAGGAACGGCTAAGAGAGCTGGGCATGTTTAGCCTGGAGAAGAGGAGGTTAAGGGGTGATATGATAGCCATGTTCAAATATATAAAAGGATGTCACATAGAGGAGGGAGAAAGGTTGTTTTCTGCTGCTCCAGAGAAGCGGACACGGAGCAATGGATCCAAACTACAAGAAAGAAGATTCCACCTAAACATTAGGAAGAACTTCCTGACAGTAAGAGCTGTTCGACAGTGGAATTTGCTGCCAAGGAGTGTGGTGGAGTCTCCTTCTTTGGAGGTCTTTAAGCAGAGGCTTGACAACCATATGTCAGGAGTGCTCTGATGGTGTTTCCTGCTTGGCAGGGGGTTGGACTCGATGGCCCTTGTGGTCTCTTCCAACTCTATGATTCTATGATTCTATGATTCTATGATTCTATGACTGTACTTCCCTCACAGTGTATCCTTTCCATTGTTCCCCTTTGCTTGTATCCTTCTCCACTGGAAACTATGCTGGACAGGTAAAGCTGTGCTGTCATTGGGCTCCACAACAAGGAGTGGCAGGGGAATGATTGAATGACCAGCTTATAAAGAGCTTCCCTCTTTCAGTTCACCAAGTGGGAAATGGTTCTGAGCAGTGCTTTTTTTCTGGGGGGACGCAGAATTATGCATACCCCTAAACATTTTGTGAATCTTTGTACTTTTGTCCATTTACTGTATTTATTTTTCCTGATTTGAACTATAAAATGGTGATTTTCTTGCGTCAAAATGAGAGTACCCATAAAAAAATTTTTAAAGCACTGGTTCTGAGGAAATGTGGAACCCAGTGCACTGTTTGGGTGTATGTTGGACTTGCAGATGGCTACAAATATGGTCGGTATAGCCTTGCTGCTGGGATGATCTGCCTTTGTGGAGATCACACCCACATCCAATGTCATTCAGTAACACTCAAAACTGGTAAAGATTTTGTCACATCAACTACCCAAGCAATTTACAAAGAATAATGCATTAACCTTTGGGGTCATTGAAACAACAAGAGATTGTGAAGAGCTCCAAAAGGACCTCTCCAAACTGTAAGCTTGTGTGGTAAAATGGCAGATGCAATTCAATGTAAATAAATGTAAAGTGATGTCGGCACAATAGACACTCGTGTGGGTTGAACTGATGGTGACTGAGCAGGAATGAGACCTTGGGGTCATAGTAGATAGCTCTATGAAGGCATCAGCCCAGTGTTTGGCAGCTTGAAAAAGGCAAATTCCATGCTAGGGATCTTTAGGAAAGGAATTGGTAATAAAACTGTTTATAGAATGTCATTATACAAATCTATTGTGCAATCACACAATACTGTTGTGGAATACTGTGTACAATTCTGGTCGCATCACCTTAAAAAGGATATTGTAGAATTGGAAAAGGTTCAGGAAAGGGCAACCAAAATGATCAAGAGAATGGAGCAGCCCCCTCTGAGGAAAGGTTGCAGCATTTGGGATTTTTTAGTTTAGCGGAAAAGTGAGCAAGAGGTGACATGATAGAAGCTGATAAAATTATGCATGGCATGGAGAAAGTGGATAGAGAAAAGTTTTTTCTCCATCTCTCATAACAGTACAAATCATGGACATCCAGTGAAGCTGAGTGTTGGAAAATTATGGACAGATAAAAGAAAGCGCTTCTTCCCCATAGTGCATAGCTGTTTATGAAACTCACTCCCATAGGAGGCAGTGATGGCCACCAACCTAGATGGCTTTAAAAGAGGATTTGACAAATTCATGGATGAGAGGGCTATTAATGGCTACTTAGCCATGGTGGCTATGCTCTCCCTCCATGACAGAGGTAGCAAGGCTTCTGAATACTAGTTGCTAGAAGACAATTGATGGGGCAATGCTACTGTGCTTGGATCCTGCTTTCCCACTGATATCTGCTTGGACGTTGTGAGAACGCTGGACTAGATGGGCCATTGGTCTGATCCAGTAGGCCAGGCAAGGCCAAACTCAGCCCTCCAAATGTTTTGAGGCTACAATGCCCATCATCCCTGACCACTGGTCCTGTTATCTAGGGATGATGGGAGTTGTAGGCCAACAACATCAGGCCATGCCTGCAGTAGGCTCTTCTTATATTTTTAACTGACAGCAGATAATGTCATTTTTTTATTGTAGCAGATGGATCAGGATAGAAGCTACTTTGCTGAAGCTAAGCAGATATGGACCTGATTGTTGGTTTGGAATAGCCTTGAGAAGGCCATTGTCTCTCACCTTAAGTCATTTCACAGGGCTCTTGTGGAAAGAAAATGGGGTGGACAACAGATAAGCTCTACAGTTGTGGTTTGTGTTGCTATAGCCTATCAACTCTATGAAGATGCTTGGACAGAAGAAACTGGTATGGCCCAAACTTCTAGAAAGTAACCAAGCTCAATTCTCAGTAAGGTTCAAAGGTATATTCGATTGCAAAATAAAATAAATAAAAATCTATACATGTTGTGGTTACTTTTATATACCACAGAATATAGCCATGTTATCAGTGCTGATCGAAATATTTCCTTTCTAGGTTTTGAAGTAAAGGGATTATTTTTTGACTCTGAGATGCAAAGCTAACACACAGGCCCATAAAAAAAGAGCAGCCCATTGTCTAGAACCAGACTGTGGAATGAAAATATAGACACCCCAGAGGAGTAATCACATACAATCAGAAACACAGGGCAGGGGGTGCTCCTAAGCAGCACTCTTGGGATCATCCAGTTGCTCCAGCTTTATCAAAGACATGCAAACACAGGATGAGCTTATATTAACTAGAGCACTAGAAACAAAAAGGAGCCAAGCAAACCAACACCATGCCAGGTGTAAACAGTGTGGAAAAGGCATTGGGATGGACACAATTCAGAGAAAGTAAAGTCCACTGGCAGTGCATTTCTATACATGTCTACTCAAAAGCAAATCCCATGAGTTCAAGAGGATGCACTCCCAGGGAAGTGGGCATAACATTTCAGACTGAAAGTCTATTACAATTGATAAGATCTGAGCACTTAATTGTATGCTTGCATCTCATGCATTTATAAAGCACAGCCTCCCCTCATATTTTTCCAGCAGCTATACCACCAGTCAGATTTATTTTTTTAAAGTATATGCTATGAAGCTGGACAGTTAGTTTGGCTGCTTTTGGATACTTTGTGTGTGTCCCCACCCCCACCCCAACAGTAAAAACAGAAACTTATGAAACTGAGGGAATAAGGCACATCCCTGTTCCAATTATTGTAACTAAGACAACAGCATCTGCCTTTACACCGGGACTTTCAGATTGCATTCAGACATTTTATATATATATATATATATATATATCCCCAAGATTGGCACAAAAACTTCACTATTTTTATTAAGCCATTAACAGTGCAATCCTACACATGCCTACTCAAAAGTACATCCTTTTGAGTTCAGTGTGGCTTACTTTCTAGTAAACTGGTGTAGGACTGCAGCCTACAGAATTCAGCAGTTTCGAATGTTCTCTTGGCCTGAAAGTGGAGATGAGTGCTGCACCCCATAGCTGGATTTGACTGGACTTAATCATCCAGGGGTCCTTTACCTTATTCCAGGAGAAGCTGAAGTGGTGCTCACCAGATATTATTGGACTACAACTCCCTTCATCTCTGATCACGCTGGCATGGGCTGATGGGAGTGGGAGTCCAACAAAACATATGGTGGGCAGAATGTTGGCTACCCTTGGTACAGTATATCCTAAAGCAAGTGGTGGCCAAATTCTTGAGAGCACCCTTTTTTTCTCCAGGCATGCACTGGGAGAGGACATCTTCACAAAGTCACCTAGCAGTAAAAACTTCAGTTATTGATCTTTTGCACATGGGTGCAGCACACTATGCACACAAATATGCATGTATACATAAAGCTTTCAAAAACGAGGTGCATCTTTAAAATACACTGAGCTGTTCTTCTTACAACCTGAAGAAACCTTGGTAGGGGAGACCACAAAATAGCTTCAGTGTCTGCCCTGTAGGCTGGCAGTCATTGTGTTTGCTCTGAAAACAGCTATTCTAACAACAGAATCCTATGCAAGTCTACTCAGAAGTAAGTCCCATTTAGCACTGTACTGTAAGATATTTTCCCCTTATTATCATTGCACAAAGCATGTGGTCTGTTCAGCAACCCCAATATATTGTCAGTCTTTTGGCATGTGATTGCACAACAACAGAGAACTTGGAGGGGAAAATTTGCCATATGCACTTCAAGCAGCTGTCTACAATACAACCCATATCCACAAACTGCAATTCCAAGGTCCTGAACCTCTCCAAATCCCAAAGAGCTACACTCAGCCCAAAACACAGATGAGAGACAGCTCTGCCAATCCAGGATGCAAGTCCAGCCCTCAAGCCAGCGAACTGTGAATGAAGCCTTTTGCAGCCTCCTTGCTCTTGCTCTCCCTCCCTCCCTCCCTCTCTCCACAAACCGGCAGGGGTGGGGGGCAGGCAGAAGCAAATGAAAGAAAATAGTTTTACCCAGAAACAAAATGGAAACCGAAATTTGGCTTTACCTGCCAAGGAACTGCCAACAGGGTTGAAGCAGAGGATGTTTTACATCCTTACATCTGGACTTTTCATGAAGTTCAACAATAAGCAAATGCCACTTACCTGTAAGAAAGGGGGGGAAAGGAGGGGAAGAAAGAAAGAAAAAAGGATGAAAAATTAAAAGCAAAAGTTCACTGAGTTTTTATACACCAGCATGAAGCACATTTTTTAAAGCAACGGGGACTTTAACGCAGTTCCAGGTTTGAGGAGTCACAAAGAGGCAATGGAGTTTTAAATATACATTGGTAAAGGTCAGTGTGAATGGCATATATTCTTGCAAAGGCCATCTTGTGTGTGGTTTGTTTTCTTGTTTATTTCAAAGAGGCTCATTTAGCTGAATCCCTCCTCCCCTTCCTGAAGTTGGCTCAGAGGCAGAACTGTAGGCTGCTGTTCTTGCCTGCATTTCTCTGATTCAAACTAGAAGTTGTCCCAAACATCAGAAAAGAGAGGAAGAAGAAGAGGAAGAGGAAGAGGAAGAGGAAGAGGAAGAGGAAGAAGAAGAAGAAGAAGAAGAAGAAGAAGAAGAAGAAGAAAGGAACCTTAAGGGACTTATGTCCCCTCCCTGCTTATGTCTAGGGGGACCTATCCACATTCTGATGACATTATCTCTTTCCACAGACCCACTCCCAGTGATGTAGGGGGTCAAAGACCCATTACTATTTCTGCAGGAGGTTCCCTGCTGGGTCCCTGTCTCTAGCATCCTAGAGCTGACCAATCAGCATGAAAGGAGACCTTCTGAGCCACTGCATGCTGCAAAGCCAAGTATTTAGAAATGTTGAAAACAGGAAGGTGCTCCAGTTTCAAGAGAATGGTGTGCAAGTTCTGAAACATACAATAGTACTTAATGGGAAACACAAAATAATTTGCCTATATACATGCACAGTAGATCTAGCTGAAAGGCAACACATGGATACTGATTACAGTACTGCAATGCATCTATGATTATGACAATAAAAGAATCATGATTATTATGTTATTGTATAATTTTGGAAGGTTGTATAATCTTAGAAAGGGTGTGGCTGTGACTATTGTGAAAGGACTTCTGAATTTGCCACTACACTACTGCCCATTCCACATCATTGGCAGCTGCCAAGGCAGGAATGCATGGATATGTAGAATACCATGATGTCAACTAGGGACAGGGAGGAAATTCAACTTTGCATGTATTTCGCTGAGAAACCACCTACTTCTCCAACCAATACATGGACCAACACAGGTATCCTTCAAAAGTTGAACTTATCCAAACTTTGCAATGTAGTTCTCTAACAAAGGTTTAGAAAAATGCATGTATTGTGGAGAAGTGTACACAGAAATGAATATCTTATTGAAAATAACATACAGCAATGCATTGTATTTGGGGAAATTGCTTGCAAAAATGGGTACATTAGACAAATCTGTGAGACAAAAAAAAATGTGTACGTTAGGAGAAATTCCCACCAAAATGCTGATGAATTTTGATGAGGATCTAAAGCATGCACACATGTGTGCACATGCATGCACACACACACACACACACTGCTGCGAAAGTATGGAGAAGTGAAATTAATAATGGGAAATTTACCAAGTAAGAGAATTAAAATTGACAGATAGGATCTAGTCAGTACAAACATAAGCTCTACTCAGTTTTATTGAGAGCGTGAGATGTGAGGGAGCTGTACACAACGTGGATTTGGCACAGTGTCCAGTTTGACCCTTTTCATTCTCTATTTATTTGCTTGTTCCAAAGCCGCAAGGTCTGCAGCAACACACATTTTGGTAAACAAAGAAGCCTAAGATCCCACAGCTCAGCCCCCTTAAAGTGCTCACAATCTGATTGATCCATAGAATCCTGTATAAAGAAACTGAACTGTTCTATATGATGGTTAAAATTTTGTTTGTTAGAGAGAAAGGAAAGTGTCTCCCATGTTTATTCTGAAGTTTCAGGGAATTCAATAACACTTATTCCCAAGGAAGTATGCACAGGCACTTACATACTGAAGCAAGTCTCATTGTACTCAGCGCGATTTGCGTTAGAACTAACATATATATGCAAAATAATAGGCTGCAGAGGCATTTCTTAAGTGACGTTAAAAGCATCTTTTCAAAGCTTCTCACATACTTTGTGAATGATGGTGGTTTTAGATGCATAGGGAGCTAGCGCCTGAATAAATGGAGGGATGTGCATTAATGCAGATTTCCATAGACACTGTAATCTACAAATAGGTCTTTTGTGCCACCTGCATGGGGGTACACACCTAGCTCATGACAAATTTACAGTGCGATGACACCTAGCCACAGGTGAATCCTTGGCAACTTCTGTGAATCATGGGAAATTCCACCCATGGGCTCATGAACAATTCAAAAGACCACTCTTCTGTTCCAACACAATGTTGTATGTTTTAAATTATACAAAGGCTGCTAAGATTGATAGGAACAATGGGGTTGTTAAAAATACATTTAAACCAACAACAACAACAACAAAATGAGAAAGGGGAGTATGCAAGGAAGCAGCAGAGGGGTGGCAACAGAAGGAAGGATGCTAAGGATTAAAAGCTCAGTGTGGAATATCCTCAGTCTCTTCAGATATCCAGCACTATGCATTTCAGATGCCGAACAGACTGAAATGACTAAAAAGAAAAATAACACACAAAGGTGGTGGTGGGGAACAGTCTGATGAATCTATACAATATCTAAATTTTACTATTATGAATGTATGCCATTTAAAATGGTTCCTGAGACTCTCTGAATTGAGTTAAAGTCATTTTAGGGCTTTTGTGATGTCAAATATATTTTTGTGTTTGCTTGATGATACTGTTTGAGCCACTCCAAAGCTGTTTAACATGTGTGGTTCACCAAATGTTTCCTAGACATCTGGGGAGCAATTGCTGATACCTCCAAATGCCTGTTATTAACTGTATGGAACTCTTCATTTTATAATTAATATGTTCTCAGATGTTTCCATTTTCAGTCAGCATGCAACCATGTATACCTAAACTTCCTGACCTATAAAATGTCCAGATTGTTCAAGAAGAAGAAAAAAGTGGGGAGCCCAACTCATGTCAGCTGTGAATGCTAGGCGGTACAGATGCCCTCCAGGCGGAAGATGAAACTTTGATGGGTTAACTTGAGGAAGGAAAAGCAGGTGGGGAAGAAGAACGCTTCAGATCAGATAGGTTCAGTCAGCTAAGATAGATTCACTCCCTAAGCCAGTGTTGGCCAAACTTGGGTCTCCAGCTGTTTTTGGACTACAACTCCCATCATCTCTTGCTTGTAGGACCAGGGGTCAGGGATAATGGAAGCTGTAGTCCGAAAACAGCTGGAGATCCAAGTTTGGCCAACACTGCCCTAAGCTGAAGAAGCAAAGGGTTTTACAGGGTGGTACTCTGACTTGCAACCATTCACTGCAGCACAACTGGGTGACCTCTCATTGGGCCTGTTACCTTCTCAACAGAGAACCTGCATGGCAGTAGACAGACATAGGTAATTGATAGCCTGATACAGCTGGCTTCAAACCCTGCACGTGAAAAGTTATAAGCATCCAACTGAGATTCACCAGCCAGCAACCTCCCTAGATAGATCCTCTGAGAATCCACCTCTGGAGGGAATGGTTATGGCATTTCCAGGATGGGTTTCCCTATCTCGAATCCAGGGAGGGTCTACAGTAGTGTTACCCAAACTTGGGTCTCCACTTGCTTTTGGACTACAATTCCCATTAACTCTGACTACTAGTCCTGCTAGCTAGGGATAATGGGAGTTGTAGTCCAAAAATAGCTGGCGACTCAAGTTTGAGAAACACTGGTCTACAGTGTGAGTCACAGCAGCAGCGTGCTGCACTCAGCCAGACCTGTTGGTTTGTGTTGCCTGTGCAGTTTATGTAAAACGTTCCCTTGGTGTGGTGATGTAGTCAAAAGGCCCCTGGGCCACATGGGAGTGCATTGAAGACTGAAGGAATGAGGGTCCTATATATTAAGAGACCCCACAGTGAAAGGTCAGATCAGCATAAGAGGAGTCCTGCTGGATCATGTTATGGGTCCATCTGGTCTAGCACTTCATTCTTACAGTGTTCAACTAGTTGCCTGTTGGAAGCCCACAGGCAGAAATGAAGCCTGCACTTAGCCTGCACTCTTAAGGAAGCTAAGGGTGAATTTCTAGGGCATTAATAAGCCTCAAGAGTCCTGTGTACCATTTCAGGCTGCCCTGAACAAGATGCAAGTGTTTCAGCTGGACCACAGCTGGTCAGGAAATCACTGTATAGCAAAGCTGGAGAATCTGTGGCCCTCCAGATGTTGTGGAACTACAATCTCCATCTTTTCTAACCACTGGCCTGCTGACTTGGGCTGATGGGAGTTGGAACACAACAAACATAAGGAGGACCACAGGCTCCCCATCCCTGCAATAAAGTGTGTTATCTTTACAACCACCAGCACTGCAGGTTACAATATAATACCAACATAAAAGTATGTTTGTAATCATTTAATTCAAATTTCCATTCACCTTTATATTAAAAGAATTAGAAGCATTAGAATCCTGTTGACTTGGTTTTGCAAAGTCAGTTTTCATCTATTCCATTTAATGTTTACATCAAAAGTATCTGCACATGTTTTATCTAAACATTATTTCAGAATTGAAATCATTGTCTCCAGTACCTTGCCAAAACAATCCCATATATTGAAGGTGGGGAACCCATAGACCTCCAGATATTGATGAAGTACAACTGCCATCATCCCTGATCACTGGCCATACTTCCTGGAGTTGGAAACCAGCAGCATCTGGAGGGTCACAGGTTATCCACCCTGGTCACATACAATACCAATTCCTTGTCCTTGGAGATGCATACACACTCTAGGCTGCAGTCCTATAACAGTGAACGCAAGATATACTTTTGAGTTTGTCAGAGGCAATAATGCTTCTGAATACCAATTGCCGGAAAACACAGGAGGGGCAACCCACAGGGAACTAAATGGGTCACTAACTCGATCCACAGGATCTTCTTATCTTCTTTTTTTTTTTTAATGATATTTATTAAGCATTTTAAAGTTACAGAAAAAACAAAGAGACAAAAAAGAAAAAAAGGGAAAAGCAAACAGCAGTCAAACAATACAAATCAATAAAAATAAAAAAACAAAGACAAAACACATCAAAATCCAAAAAACAAAAGTAAACCACAAACATTTAAAAACAGATCCAATATTCCCAAATCCTTAACTGTCAGTGCCTTATTTCATCGACCTCCTCACACCTCCTTTTTTTGTATTCCAGTTATTAATTATAACAGCAAATCCTTCCCATTTTTCATAATATTCTGTCATTAAATTACCTTAATCTATTTTAACCTTATCTTACTATAAAAGACCCTAGAACTTAAAACTTAAATCTTATTTATACCAATTTCTCATAACCATAACATATTCTTGCATAGTTCTTTTTAACATTTCTGCTAAAGCCGAATAGTTTCGTTCCAACATTTTTCTAATACTCATTAATTTTAAAAAACAATCCTAAATAAAAAAATTTTAAAAAAAACTTTCTTCCAATCTTCATCCAACGTCTCTTCCTCCTGGTCCTGGGTTTTGTCAGTCCTTTCTGTCCCATCCATC